ATAAAGTTGTGGTTAAAGAACAAGATGCTTGAAATAATGCTTTAACAGGGAGAGTGGTTTGGGAAGGATGTTACCACAAGAGCCAAAGGTTAACCAACCAGGTCATCGCATACTGCCAAACTGGTGGTAAATTGTGTAACTGTTTTGGAAAGGCCATTGGAATTAGGATGTCAAAGAACTAAGAAGTCAGGATATTAGGTAAAGGTTCCCAAACTTATTTGGCATACTGTCCCCTTTAAAAAAAATTTATTCAGCCACCACCATGGCAATTAAACTTTCGTACCATTGCCCAATCCAGGATAAAGTGTAGGTATCTGCTTTTGCAGCCTCCATGAATTGTTCTAGTGGCCCCAGTGGGGTGGTATTCCTCACTTTGGGAAGCACTTAGTTTGATATTTAAATCTGTCTGGGAACTGGAAGGCATGCTTATTAGATGATTAAATGAAGAGCAGGGTTTTCTGGAGAGCTGAGGTTAATACTGTACGCCCTGTAAGAGAACTACTCAGGTAGCGGCTTGTGTTTCCTTTTGCACATGCCTCCCCCTCCTCTTACCCAGCCCTAAAAATGAGCACTGCTCAAGTGACTTGCTTTGCTCCACCCTCTCCCCTTTAACTTCAGAGTTGTTTTCCTTTCTAAAGTTTCTTTGTTCTTCAGACAACGTCTGATGGTGATTTCCTTTATCTGTTTGGATTGCTGTTGCTATTTGCTTGTTCATACTCCTTTCTGTTTTAAATAAAATCTTGTATTCTGCTTACTATTAGTTTTCACACAATTTTCCTTTGCATTTTAAAATACACAACTCTCTTTTAGACCTTAGTGGTTGGTCAGAAGTTTTAGTCTCCCTGCAAGCCATGCACACTGTATAAGTTCAGTGTATAATAAAAGCTTAGGGTCTTTTGGTGCTTTGGCTATAGAGTTGCTTTTCCAAAATAAGGGAACTGGTGCTGGTAGTCTCTATGAGTCAACTCAGTGGCAGTAGGGTTTGGGTTGGTGATGATTGTAGTGAGGGGGTGAATGGGCAGGTCTTCCTTCTGGTTTCTAATTAGTTGAATATTTTTGTATTAACATGTTCGAAAAGGGCCCTAGTGGTACAACAATTAAGTGTTTGGTTGCTAATCAAAAGGAGACAGTTTGAACTTACCCAGGGGCTGGAGGGGTTCCCATAAAGATTACTGCCTAGACAGGGACAGGGAGCCTTTTTTCTGCCAAGGGCCACTGTGATATTTATAATAACATCATTCTCATGCTATACTGGTCAAACATTTAATTAACTCACCCTTAATGTGATGGCTGGAACTGCTTTTGGGTGAGGCGTGTGATGTTAGCTCTTATTAATGATTTCTTGGGCCTCTTATGGCCCAGGGCCCAGGTATTCCCCACCCCTGGCCTAGAACCTCCTGGGGGAAATTCTGTTCTATCTTGTGGTTGATAGGAGTTGAAATTGACTCCATGGCACCTAAGAACAATAGCAACATATCAAACA